AGAGAGACAGAGAGAGACAGAGAGACAGAGAGACAGAGAGAGACAGAGAGACAGAGAGACAGAGAGACAGAGAGACAGAGAGAGAGAGAGAGACACAGAGAGAGAGAGAGAGAGAGAGAGAGAGAGAGAGAGAGAGAGACGCCAGGCACACGGCGAAGGACAGGTGACACAGTCCGCAGGCAGGAGGGACGGGGCGGCCACGACAAGATCAACTTTTGCACCAGCAGGAGAGAATCCACATTGATGGCCAACAACAACTCCCAGATGCATGGCAAACGCACCCTTGGCTTTGGAAATTAACGCCAGCAGCTCGCGCCGACCATTGTACGAGCTCTCCAGCATGTCGGCCACACGAGCATCCACCGCCGGCAGGGGAGCCGGCAGGCCGGGGTCCTTGGAGCCAAGGGCCTCCGATAGATCGAACGTCTCGCTGAGTGGCACAAACAACGGCCGAATCCGAGTGATCGGATCGGCCGGGTCCCGCCGCCAGGCATCGTGGTCATTGATCGAGGGGAGGGGCTCCGCGGCGGTGGCCACCGGCCCGCCGGCCGGCAGATCGACCGAGCCCGAGGAAGAAGAAGAGCCAGACGAAGGAGACATTGCTTGGGATCCGCCCGGGGAGTCAAGCAGCCCAGCCACAGGAGGAGAGGAGACAGGGGTCGTCGCGGTGCACGGGGCGCCCAGCCGGGACACAGCGGGCATGAAGTAGCTACTTGCCAGGAAGTAGACAACCGCAGCGATCACCAGCGAGGAGGATGTTTGCGAGGCTGCAGGCGTAGGTGCGGGTGCGTGGATGTCGGTGCGTGGATGGGCGTGCGAAAAGCAGGAGAGGGGTGGGCAAGGGGACAGCAAAGGGGGGGGGGGGAGAGAGGGGGGAGGGAGGAGCAAAGAGGTGAGCAGGGAGGGGGAATGGTGGAGATGTCATGCAGATCTCCAGGGGGGGCCGACCTCCCCGAGACCAATGCCCCCGCGCTTCATATGGACCATGCCCGCCCCCTGCCCACCAGGCTTTGGGCCGGAAAGGGAGGGCCATCCGAGGGAAAACACACAAAAGGGAGCAGAGAGAAAGAGGGGGGGGGGGAGAGAGAGAGACGCACCGATGGAGAAGATCAGAGACACAGTGTCCCGGTAGGAGGGATCCGACACAAGGGGCATCGACAGCAGCAGGGCCAGCAGGGAAAAGCAAACCCCAGCAAGGAAGGTCCCCGGCAACAGCAGCCAGCTTGGCCACGATTCGGTCCAGGGCTGCCGCGCGGCAGACATCAGACCCGCGAGGAGTGATGACATAGGGGGCAACAGGCGATCCGCGGGGGGGG